ATTTCCCCGATGAGGGGAATAATAAAAAAATTACAACGTTCACGTTTCCAGGAATGCTTCCAGTAATTAAAATTCCCGGAAAAAGAACAAAAGCATATATTATTAATGTTATTAATAATGTATCACCAAAAATTAGTAATTCTTTATACAACTGTATTTCAACCTACTAATAGTATTGCCGTATCTTTTTTTACCATCCGGCTTTTAGGCCGGTAATTTAAAAAAATTAAGGAAAAGTTCTGACCCCATTAGCTCGCCCAGGTGAGACAAGACAAATAAAAAAAAATGAAATAAGGCCTATTTTATTAAAGCCAATCAAACATTGTCTAACAATTATTGTTTTTTTTTATTTCTTAATTACTAAAAATTAATTTCTTACTTAATAGATGTAAGCCAAATTATCTTTGTTGTGGCTCAATAAAACACATTGTGTATGTTTGGTGAATAATCGCCGATCGCCCATTGGGTAGTAGTTAGAGTTGGGCATTTTTTATTCGATCAACGAATGATAACTAATTTATTCGAATGATCTCTTCATTCGATACTATTTAAGATGATTTATTATCTAAAAGTCCCAACTCTCAACTGATAACATTACTAATAATATGCGTTTGCTCAGTGGCAAAGTTTATACAAACACCGAACACGGCTCGAAATGTTCTTTGCAGATTACTGTCGCTTTTGGAAATTTCATTGAATGGTTATTTTTAGGATTTCCGAGATTCTCATTATGATTGTAAAACTCGGGCAGGTAATTATATTATTATCCTGTCTTTTGAACGTTTTCAAAATGTGTTTTACAACGTTATAATATAGTTCGGGTGAAAAGATACGAGATAACAATCTATATAGTGCGATGGCGAGGTATTTTTTTGCGCTTACGCGTATTTTTTTAATGAGTTTTCCGAGATTCGATTTCACTATAGAGCGAGAGAAAACATTAAACAAAAATATCATTATGCTCCAGTTTACCCTTAGCGTTATAATATAAAAAACTCATTAATCAAAATATAACAAACAATAATTTGCTCCTTTTAAATCACTTTCCGGGAAAGTGAAGGTATCAAATTTGCCATAACAAAATACAAATTTGGTGCAATGGAATTGGCTCCCAAATCACTTGTGAGAATGTCTGTTGCAGAGGGTCAGAGTTGAATTTCGAAAAACCTGCAAACTATTTTCTGGTTTTCTTATTTTCGACATTGTAAAAGAGTGTACTTTTTCGACCCCCCCCCCCCCACCCTCCACCCCAAGAGCATAGTGTGTACCGGCTAGTATTTCAATATCTGATCGATTGCTGTACTATTTGATTAAATCAGAGCAATAGTTTGAAAAATATCGTGTGAACATTAGGAAAAAAAACAAACCAGCTCAGAACACACTAATCACATTATCTATTATAAAATCAATTTTACGAAAATATTAAGATTCTCGGAATATTATTCAGTTAACTTGAATTTAAAAGTAAGGAAGTATTACAAAAAAGCTATTTTATTCTTAGAATTGTCTAAAAAATAAAATTAAAAAAGAACCTCTTTAAGGGACGCCTACCAATTTATTAAAGCCCGAGGGACCGAATAACGTTTCTAGTTAAATCTTTATTAAATATGTACCCGAACACGCCTATATAATGCAATATATCAATATATTTATACAGCCCATTCGCCTAGACATGACAAGATAATTTTAACATACTTGCCAGCTGGTTAACAATGAAATCGAAATTATATCGATTATCAAAAACTTAAAGGTCATGCGCCTTCTCACGGTTCAAGGTTTAGTTTTCAGGAACCGTTTGTATACAGCCTGTACAGGATGATCCATCTGATTTAAGTCGCTCAAGTTTTCTCGGAAAATGTGAATATTTTGAAAATTATTTTTTTCTTACACTAGACAGGTACATGTATGATGTATTACTATATTTTTCATTACTTAGAACATTTATATCTTCATTATTGATACATAATACCTCTACGGACTTTATTTTTTCAAAATAGGAACGTTTTAATTTCATAAATATGTAGACAAAACAATTTTAAAACAAGCTTTGGAATTTTTCATTTTAATCAACCTGTTATGACTGTAAAGTTTTGAATAATTTAAGATCAGTGTTGGTTCGGTTTTTTCAACAGTAGCATCCCCATTAAACAATAATATTGACACCCGTTGATAACACTGTCATCTGTGTCTTACATCAGATGTACTACCCTGTATGAAATGTTTTGCTACTATGAAGCTTATTTGATTTACACACAAACATTATGGCGTTAATTAGAAAATAAAAAATGAGTCACCTTTATTTAATGAACATTTCGCCGACTAAGCCCAAAACTACATCCAGATACACTAATGTTGTTCTCACAATAAACAAACTCACAGTTATTGATTATAATATTATTAGCTTTTAGTATAAAAAAAAAATATTAAAACAACAAAATATTTTATCTGACACTTAAAACGTGAGCGAGTTAGTTAAATTGTGTTCAAAGTAGAAATTAATTAACTTGTAAGCTGTTTTCGCTTAACGAATTAAGAAAGAACGCTTTTTCCATTAGCGTAGGCTATAAATTAAATACAATTTGTGATTGATGGACATAAAAACAAAGTTACACTTATCAGAGTTTTTTTTCGTCAGCTTTTTGTTTTATACTTACTGAATAAGTAAGTAATAAAAAAATTGTGCACAACCGAATGGAAGACCTTATTTTAATTAAAAAAAACATTTATTGTTGCCCAGAACGGTTCGGAGTTTTAATTCCAGTATTTTTGTTGGCAAAAGCAACAGCATAGTATTACAAAAACATACTAGAAGAAATTTAGCGCAACAGGATCTAGTTCCTATAAGCGAACACGGGTTTGAAGGTAGTAATCAATTTGGAAATGATTTATTAATATTGTTGTTTTGGTCCGTACTGTTCACAGAATCGCATCGTAGCGTTTGACAGTGAACTAATCATTTAAAAAAAATTATTTCTATCTCCTAAAACTATAGCGACCGCCTCCAAACCGATTTGTTATAGAAGAACGCCACACATTGGCTTTCTTGATACAGCTCTCTACCAAAAGTTGTCTTACAGGAAAGTTATTTATATCAGCTGAGTGTTGAGAACTTTATCTGTGTCGCCTAGATCCGTATCAAGAAACCGGAGACAGTTTTTTTCCTTAAAATGTTCGTTTTGAATCTTTCAAGAATGCTCGAATAATAATCTAACTAACAAAAAAAAAAAGAGTCCTAATTATTGAACTAATAATTGCACATCACAGTTTAACAGAGCATACTTTCCTCCTTAGAAATGACCGGAGTGGCGTCCTCTTAAGTCAAAAGTTAAAAGAAATAGCACTTGTCCCACAGCTCAGTAACCGCGCCTTGACCACGTATATATTATTTTCATGCCGTACTCGGTTTGTTCAGCACAAGCCAATAATAAGCCATGATAGTTTTTAACTGTAGTGAGTTATTTTTTTTTTATACAGAACCAATTTTTGCACTCAAGTTGACACTGTTTGCACGTTTTACCCTCGCATTTTTTTCTTTTTACGATGTATCGTATTTCGTAGAACTATTTAAACACTTGGTACAAAACGAGCCGCAGAGCGAACGGTCTAAAAAAGAATGAATAAAAAAACAATAATAGGTATACAATGAACAAAATAACTGTTAATATTATCGTTCATCGGTGTACGCGGCAGACTTGCCTAATTTGAATTTTATGGCCAATACACTCAGCTAAATTCACAGAATCGCGTTTTACCATATTAATTGGTTCAGTTTCCATAAAAATTGTTTTTAAAAAAAATTGTCCGTATATATATATATATATTAACAATTGGCAGACACAAAAAGAACACTCTATTGAAACACCAATAACTTCTGAACTTGGCTTCGAAGCTAAAAACGTCTCACAAGTGAATCTGTAATTTAGGAAAAATTATGTATATATTATGTTAACATCCCATACACTATAATATAGCCACGAAGACATAAAAAAATTTCTTTACACCGCATAAGGTGTAGGATTTACTATAAACCTGATTTATTAAAACATACACAAAAAATATAATCAGCTGTTCCTATTTATATTTAAAAAAAATTGTTGTTACACTGTACATCATAGAAGAGCCATCATTTTAAATATATGTACATCGAATACATGGTGCATATATATTTTAATATTTTACCATAATTTAACAATTTCTATTGAATAATTTATATTTATATGCGTATGGTTTCTGTCAACTAAGTGTCATATGCAGATTTTAAATGCAATTAATGTGTACAAGGGTAGTGGGTACCTGGTGAAATGCTTCTCATTTTAAATCAAGCACAAGCGGTCGGGCCCATTTGGACTTGTATGTATGATTTTATTAAATATAACAGCATGTAAAAGTCCAGACAGCCGAACGGTATAACTACATAATAGATTAAGTCTATTCTATGTATAATTCGTTTTTCTTTAATAAACGTTTAGATTTTTTATCTTTTTATCCCCCCCCCCTTCTAAAAAATATATATATTTATAATTTTTTCCGGGTTTCACAGACAATTGACAAGTTGTAATAGTTCTCCAAAATATATTAGACCACTAAACGATGGTTAAGGAGCCACTACTGTATGTCTAAATTGATGCGATCTGGCATTAGAAATTGAAATTTTAAGTGTTTATATGACATAAAACTAATAATACTAATAATGTATTGTATATTCGGTTTAATTATCGCATAACTAATTTTAAAAAAAATGTCCATCTCTTCTTTTGTTAATGTATATGGCTTAGCCATATACACAATAGGTATAAATCACATTACAACTACATGACTCACAAGTATAATTATGATTTCATAATTAATAATATATAATTATTCATTTAAATTTTCCTTTAAACAAAATTACACGAACCGTAGATATTAGGTACATATCGAATAAATTATACACATATAGTGGTATTTATTTGTTTTAGGGCATAGGAAAATAAAACATGTAACATAAATCATTTACTATATTATACATTATACTCCCATGGTCGTGTAAACTGGAGAACTATGTACAGGCAACCGACAGGAACGTCCTCTTTGTTTATGTATTGTATTTTTAACTTGTAAATTCCATAATAGAACTGTTTGGGGAAATTAAACTTTTCGAGTAAAGACAAATCGAAACCATTCATAGTGTAATTACCCTGTAAATTATTTTTATGTTAGTCATACTGTTATGTATTTATATTAGGTATATGCTATAATCTTGAGTGGTAGGGGACATTTCAAAGTAAATAATCGTCTGTAAATATCAAATTAATACAATTTTTATTTGCTTGCAATTACTATTAGTTATGATAATATATGTAACTGAAAAACTGAAAACATGTTAAGTGTAATTTTGAATACATACAATTCCCATTGGACAGTCGGATGATATTGGTTCGTAGCTGTGTAAGTATGTCCTCCATACTTCTCCCATAAACTTCTTCAGTCTACTACATGCGTTAGAATGTCTGTAAACGAACGCATTGTACTTCCAACCGCCAACCGTATCTAATACCGCCATGTTTAAGTCAAGCTATTTTATAATTAACATTTAAAAAAATTAAAATGCTTTGATTACTTGTCGTCTTTGGATTTGTATTAAAACAATATAATTTCAAAGAATGTTATAGTTACGGTTAAAGAGTCGTCGAATGGGATTTTCGCGATATACTTGCCCGTCAAGACAGTTTTGGTTTCAGAAACCCGTGATGTGTGCATGTTATAAAACAAGGGATAGTTTATGCTTTCATTACATATGAAAGCTCCGTGGAATTTTAGTTTATATTCACCCTGAAACATATTTACTTATTAGTAATATTTATCAGAGTTGTAGATGGCGACCACTAAAAACCTTGCTAATCGACATATTATTAGTTTACTTGGTAATATGTACCGTACCGACTGTGCTAATATAACTGTACAATAAAAAATCATAAAGTAGACTGTTTGTAATTGTCATAAAATTAAAGTTTTTATTTTACACGAGGTGTTGTGTTAATGTTAAAAAAAAAATTAATCACGACGAATATTATATTATAATGAAAATGAACGTCAAACACGTGGCTGACATTCGCGGACATAATAATTATATTTGATTTAAATCATCATTTGAACTTACAATAGACTTATAAATAATTGACTTGCGGTCATCAGACTGCCACTTCCGCAACATTTTACGAACAAATACAAATAATATAACCAAAATAATAACTTCATTATGAGAAAAATGTTTTCGCAAATTTCGACCGTGTCGACTAATTACGTTATATCATTGATTAAACAAAATAATTGATCGTGGGCGTTCAGTTAGAAGAATATATTTTATAAATGATAATAAATACTGTATAATATAATAAACTACTCATTGGTCTCTTCTCTGGTCCACTTTACCTCCCAACTTTGCCAATAAATATAAAGCTATTGTTCCCAACATTCCTCGCGAGCCATGGTTCACCAATCTCACTTTGCCTAGAAGTGCGATTGTTCATTTCTGTCGATTAAGGTTCGGTCATTCTCTTTTACCTGCTCATGCTTATAAATTATCCCTAAACGATTCTCCTCTCTGTACTCTTCAGACCGAAGAAGCTATTTGTAATCATATTTTGTTTGAGTGTCCTGCTCTCATCCATAGACGCTCCTTCTTTTTCCGTTTCTTACACATTCATAATATTCCTCCAACCTTAAATTCCATACTTTCTACCACGAATGTTTTTATAATTAATTATGTCATTTCTTTTATTTTTGAGGCTGGCTTTGCAATTTAATTAATCTATATTTATTATTTTTTGTTTTGGTTTCTCTTGTAAATACGTTCTTGAGCTCTCTGTATACTTATATATATAATTGTCAAAATAAATTGTAAACGCAAAATTTCATAATAAAAAAAAAATATATATATAATAAACTATTCCTTAGACCTTAATAACTAGTGAATTTCCCAGGGCAAAAAAACTCTGGTTTTTGTACGAACGTTAAATTCAAAATAAACAGTAATTATGCTATAAAAAATAGTAATGACACAATCTTCATCAACTTGTTCACTGAAAAAAAGTGATAATAACATTTTGTATTTGACTTTACTGAATAACTGGTATTTTTTAACTGAATAATTAGTCATGTCGACTCTTTAATTTCGTTAAACTATAATATTGTATTGGGTTGTGTAACTCAACCGAATCTTTGAAGATGCAATCATTTTTTTTTTTTTTGTAAAATTTGTATGTAGCTATTGTTTCAGAGCTAAGCAAATTATTATTTTTTATTTTTTTATAGTAAATATATTGGTCTTACGGATAGAATTATAACATTATTAAAGTTGCCTATAGTACACCATTCAAATATGAAATCTTATATTTAAAAGACTTATAATAAAAATTAAAAACGTACACCGTTAAAAACTTAATAAAATTTTTAAACAAGCAGTAGACATAGTAGAAGAATAGCAGTAGAACATACTGCTATAACATAATACTGTATAAATATATTGAAATGTAGTGACTAGTACACACAGTATTAAGATTTTAATAAGGTAGGTACTTACAACCGGAAGATTTGGAAAGAACTTTCTTTCACCGATTAAATCATCAGTAAAAAATATCAACAACGATAAAAAATATATGAAAAATTTACATTCCATTGTTATAAATCAGTAAAACGCAATTAGTCACTAAGAATTATGGAAGCAGCAACAGTTCTTAGAACATAGAGAATATGTTTAACTAATAATGACAGGACTACAGGAGAGACATAATATTAGAACAATGGTAACGAGGAGAATAAACAAATATTATTGTTTTTTTTTTTTTTATAACACCATATCAGATTGTCAATTGATTTTATTATATTTACAAAAACAAATACATACGCCGTTCTATTGTTGAAAAATGAAAAAAAAAACAAATACGCAATCAACCAAAAATAGGTAGGAAATGTACCCAAAAACTTCCTCGACAAAATATGGTACCTATGTAATACCTATAAAACTAGACAGTAGGATACGCATAATCAGACTATTTTAAAGCCAATTAACTAATCAGATGTCTGCCCTTGGTGTAAAAAAAAAAAATAGAAAAATATGTCCCAGGTAATAATATAATTTTTAGATAATGGCATTGCCGATTTTTTGTTTTATATTAAATACAATTTTTAAAAAAAGGGTAATGTATTCAAATCAATTTTAGGAGACTCTACACTAACATTTATTAAGGTGCATTGTCTAAGTAATTTTTCACTAAAACATGACATTAAGCTAAAATTTGTAAATATATATATCAACACAGGAAAGAGAATCTCTATTGATTTACAGTGGGTAAAAAAAGTCTCCGTACACTGTTGTCAAATTTTTTCAAAAACATAAAATGATAATTTAAAAGGTGATTAACTTCATATTTTTAACACACTTTTATTCAGAAACATATTAATATTTGTTTTTAGAAAAATAGAGCATATATATTAATTAGTTTATTTTATACATGTATATATGTACAACAACTTTGGAAAATAACAGCAAAAAAGTCTCCGTACATTTATTGATGTGTATGAATAACAGATAAAAATAGTACCGGAATAGGGAAAACCCGTATGGACTGAGAGTTCTACATATCAACGAGCATGTTATTATTGTTTTTGTAGCCATTAAGAACGATAGACATACGCTTAGTCCGTTTTATTCAATTCATATATATTGAACAATGGAGATACCTATTGCTATTCGTAAATTAGTAGTTAAACTAAGAGAAGATGGTAATTCTCTCAGAAATATTGCACAAACAATAAATAAATCGCACTCGACTGTACAATATATTATAAACCGATACAACGAAACTGATTCTTTTGAAGATCAAAAACGTACTGGTCGTCCCCAAAAATTGAAATCACACCAAAAGAGGGCCATTCTAAGGACAATTGTGACGGAACCAAAAACCAGTGCACCTAAACTGGCTGGTATGATTGATACTGACTATAATGTGAAAGCTGTGCCTCAGACCATTCGTAATGTTATTAGAAACGCAGGATATAAAGGTTGTGTAGCTAGGAAAAAACCCTTTATCAGTCAAATAAATAAAAGGAAACGTTTAGATTTTGCGAAGGCACACATTCATAAGGGAAATGATTTTTGGAAATCTGTATTATTTAGTGACGAAAGCAAGTTTGATGGGCGAGTTATGGTGTGGAGAAAACCTAATAAGCAGATGGATTGCAAAAATTTGTGCCCAACGGTAAAGCATGGGGGCGTTTTACCCACTGTATCAATTTATGTATATATGTTCTTACTTAACGCATACAGGCGTTTACAGTGTCTGTTGTGGTTACAATAATTCAACATGAACCAGGACTTGTACTTAAGAAAACAGTAGCATATAATTGTGACGATGACTTCAGGAAAGGTTTAAATACATTTTGGATGTATCAAACGTCAAATATAAGGTCAGGATCAAAGTAATCGTACTAAACTATAAAAACTTTAAGGACAGAGGTAAAGTTGTGATTGGTTGCTACTTGCTGCCTGTAATAATAATTTAAATTCTACGCATGTATATGAGCTATGTATAATTAACCAAATTATTATTATTCATTTTTTAAATTTAAAACCAAGCGGTTTTGTTGTTTAATTAAATATTGAACTACCTCCAGAATTAAAAACACGAGTTCGATATTAAAAGACTGAGAGTCGAGTAATTACTGACTACGTTATAATAACAGGTATTACCTACCTTTTTGGCGGGTAAAATTATTAGTGTAATAATTTTAATGTCAATAAACTTTGCCTTGTTAATAAACTTTTACGTCCGAGTCTACAAAGGCGGCGATTAAAAATGTATAGATCCAATTCGGATAATTACATATATATTTTTTGATCGTCGTAAAAAATTACCATATTTCATGATGAATATTAATTGTGGCATGCAACGAAAACGGTGTTAACATTTTTATAGTTTCAAACCAAATTGTAAAATTCAAATCGGGTAAAACCGAATCGCCTTAAATCGATTTACCTAGTGTTAATTACACACCTCATTATCTTAACCTAACCCTAAAAAAAAACAAGCTTATGATATTATGTCAAAACTGAACAGAGTGTATTGTAAACTTGTATTGCGGTTGCAACGTATAAGATAATGAACAATAACGAGTCGTCAATCGATGAATTATCCCTTAATTAAACAAGTGTAATCGTTGTCGCTCTGATATCTACTTAATTTATAATATTGAGGGTGATCTAAGGTTGAGCAAGTCTAATAAACTTGGCCGGGTTTTATTTGATAGTAGTAAACTGACTTTCAATAGTCACGTTACATTTGCAAAACCAATGAAACTTTTAGGATGAATTAAAAGCTGCTGTTAAAATTTTAAGAATGTCAATTCGCCGGGTTTATAGCTCTTATATTCGGTCTAACGTTTTTTAGAAGGTCAAAAATAGGCACTGGAAAGCAGGCCAAGCAGGCAATTACTGACCGAAAAAAATTATTATTTAAGGAATTATAAGTAATACCGAGTTCCAGTCACTTGTTTTAGTTTGTTATGAACTACAGTGGGATATTGTATCGTTGCTAAAAATTAAAATTAAATGCAATATTATATAATGACAATTTAAACCAGTCAATTAGTAAATGAAAAAACAAAATAATTAATTAGATAATTTCAAAATTATGCGGTACCTAGCATAGCTAATTAATTTTATATAGATATAAAACTATAAATAATCTTCCTGTTTTCTAAATGTGTGCAGTTCGTTAATCTGTTGACGCTTAACCTATACAGACCTATTGGATAAAATATATATCTAATGAAAAATGGTTTCAAAAAAAACAACAGTAGTACAATTACAATTTTTCTAAGACATTGCGTAACGCGTTATCACTTATCAGTACGGTCGTATAATAATTTATATTATGTTCACGCGGCTATAAAATAGTAAAACCGTCATTTGAGTTAATTAAATAAAAAAACCAGATACATTCAAATTATTATATAAATAATATTTCTGTGATTGACGGTCGACGCTGAAACTAATACTATAAATATTCGTTGATTAAATAGGTATCCAACGGATAACTATTACACTTATATTCAAATAAAAAATAAAATAACTGAGAAAATAAAAAAAAACACATAAATTACATAATTTATTGAATAACCGATGCCTATGGTTTTCTACATTTTTTTCTAACAAGATGTTTTTGCTTATAACAAGGTAAATAGGTAACACATTTAACCCGGTTAATTTACCAACAGTAATAGAATGTCACTAGCAAATGGTCGATGTGTCTCAAATCAAAACATAATTTTGTAAAACATGCCAACTAGAAAAAAAAAATGATTTCTCATAAAACAAATGTGTATGCAATAAATATTGCTTAAGCATGTTATAATTTGTTAGCTGAATGTTACAGGTGACAGGCAACTTCTTTCAGCTTAAAGATTCGATTTTTTCAGAAACGAAATGGGACTTCATGGGAATACAGGATGATGGAAATGCCAAGGGTATATTTTGTTTTAAAATAGAGCCTTTATTTAAGTTGTAGGTGTTATAGAAGTTGAATAAAAATAAAAGAAAAAAAATCAATTATCAAATTAAGACCCCTCATTCCTGTGTTAATTTAAAGGGTTATTTTTTTATCGTCAGCTACTCAATATTACATAGGGTTTAATTAGTAATAAATATTTCTTTCTTTTGCACAGTGTTTTTAAATTTGCGATTTTAATATCTCATACATTTTCATATTTTCAACATCCTCCCAAACTAGTTTTTTTTATATCCCCTTTTGCAACTTAAACGGTAACGTATGTATTTGTTTCTTTTAAAATTAAGAATTAAAGTTATAAGAGTTTATAAGTTAGGACGGGAGGGGAACTCCGGTTAAAAATTTAGATCACATTATATAAAAACACTATGACAAACAAGTTCAATTATTAATTTAACCCATTTGAGATACTGACTGGCTCAGATGAAAAAAATCACAAATTATAGCATAAAAATGTTAAGTTTTAGTGAAAAGTTGCCTATACAATGCCCCTTAATTGTACAATATATTAACGTTAGACTTTTATATTTGTTTTTTAGTTTATAAAACATAATACTCGTATAGGTATTTAAATAAAAAATAGCGGATATTCAGTAAGTTTGGAACCGGAAGCACGGTAAAACATTTGATTACAGACTAGTAGGAGTACGCGATACAGTTTTACCAAACGTAGTAAACCGAACAAATTAGCCGAATTTGCCCCAATGGTCTTTTGCACGCACAGGACTGACGTGTCATCAAAAGACAGAACGTTGTTTTTCAAACGGCCAAGACATATTTTATATTAGAAAATAATGACCCGAGCTGTAGGTATCATTTCAGTAGCGCGTTGCGTGTCCAGTTTGACGTCGACCATTGTCCGACGGGGCTTTCTTAGAAACCGAATAAAAAACCATTATAAATGGATTACAAATAACGCGTTTTTTATTTTAACAAATTTATCGTTCTCGACGTTGAGCCACAGTGCAGTAGTTGGGACAAAGCCCCAGCGTATATAATAAAAAAAATAAAAAAACAATAATATTTGTTTAAGACCGGAACGACGATGTACGATTATGTGTTGACCTTTCCCTTTGGACAACGAGTCGTACCTGTAATGCCTATTCCCCCGATGACACCGCGCTCCATTGAATAGGAATGA